GGGCCGACAGGAAGGCGGTGGATTCTCAAGATAGAATGTTATGACACCTGGAGGCGCCCACCTATTTTTGACAAGCCATCGGGAGGAGGGAAAGATCTGAAAAACGGGGCCGGAAGGAGTAGCTCCAAATTGTTGCAAAGGCAAATATATTCTCTGTGCTCAGTAATCAACAGAAGCCTGACATGGGATTCTGACCTCACTGGAAAATCAAAGCGCAAAATCATCCCACAAGAAGGCTGTATCATAAAGACCACGGAGATGTAGAAATTAAATATTAAGCAGGCATTCTGGGTGTAATCTATTTATCCAGGGTTAATATGGTATTAATTAATATGCACTGAATAATTCATGCCAATAAGAGGGCTTAAAGGTTTTATTTTGTCAAAGACGAGGGAAGACCTATCTCTTTTTCCTTATGAGCACCAGCTACTTCTCCATCCGGAGCCCCTGTGCGGCTCAATATTACTGCTGTTACAATATTACTTCGGTGTGGTTGATGACATTACTGCTGTTAGTACTAATGAGGGCAGCTAGGTAGCACAGTGGATAGAGCTCAAGGCCTGGAGTCAGGAAGATCTGAGTTCAAATCCAGCCTCAGACACTTACTAGCTGGGTGACCCTGGGCAAATCACTTCACCCTGTTTGCCTCAGTTTCTTCACCTGTAAAATGAGCTGGAAAAGGAAATGGCAAACCACTCTAGAATCTCTGCCCAGAAAACTGCAATGAAGAATCAGACATGACTGAAAAATGATAGAACAACGGTACTAACACTATACAAAGAGGTCTCTTTGAAGAAAACCATGCACTAAGACACAGCTAGAGTCTGCCCTGAAAGCCTATCATTTCCTAAATAGTAATGACCAGACTCCTGTCAATACTAATGCACAGCTGGAGCCATGAATCCATCAGTGTGGATGCTCAAGCACTAGAGTGGGATTCAGAGGGTCTGGGTTCAAATCCTACCTTGGCTCTTCATGTGTAAAAAAAAAAAAAGGAGGAGGAGGAGGAGGAGATTGGACTAGATAGTTTCCAAGATCTAAATCCTACGTGCAATAATTCAACTCAGTGAACATTTCTTAAGCACCTAGTTTGTGCCAGGCACTGTGCTATGCACTAGAGATATAAATACCAGCAAAAAGACAGTCCCTGCCTTCAAGGAGCTTACGAGCTAGTGGAGGAAGACAATACACAAAATGTTGTGGGCAACAGGGAGAGACATAAGGGAGCATTTTGTTCCATAGAGAGTGGAGTGAACTCGAAGTCTAATTTCTGCCCTCCATAATGGAAGACTTTGGGCATAGTTTAGTACTCCACCCTCCAATCAGATAGTAAATTTGGATCTGGAAGGGATCCCCAAGGCCATCTAGGTAAATCATCTAATTTTACGGCTTCGGAAACTGAGGCTCAGGTAGGTTAAGTGACTTAAGGCCCAAGGTGCCACAGTTAGCAAGTGGCAGAGTCAGGATTCCAACCTGGGTCTTCTTGGGTCACCCAATCCAACACTCTTTCCATGGTATCATCCTTCCTCTTCAGAGGAATGGACACCTTCATCAAGGCAGGTTGAAGCTCTTCCACACTTTCCCATTCTGTGTGATTCTCATTCTTCTGTGAATGCTTCACAAAGTATCCATGCACTATTTTACCCTGGATACTTTCTGTTCTTTCTTTTCCTATTCTGAGGGTAACCACATAGCACACAAGATGTCCATCCAACATGTCTCATGCTTATACCACCTCTTCTGGTCAGATATGTTCTGGAATGTGTCTTTCAAACTACTTCTTCTACATAAGTTGATTCTTCAATAGAACTGTGACCTCTCCACTGTGGTATTCCCTTCAGTGGTGCAGGTAGCAACCTATACCTTCTCATTCAGAGTGACATTTGTCCACGTCCTGTAAATCTTCCACAGGAGGTCCTCCTTTTCAAGACCTCTTGACATTGCATGAATGCTAATGGGGCACATGAATTGTCCATCATCTATAAAGAGATCACTTGATATAATGGATAGTGCATTGGACTTGGACCTAGTAAGACCTGGGGTTAAATCCTGGCTCAGTCCCTTGGACAAATCACTAAACTTCTCTGTGCCTCAGTTTCCTCATATGCAAAATGACAGGGCTGGACTTGATGGCCTCCAAGCTCCCCTCCAGCTCTAAATTCATAAGCCTATGATCCTGTCCCTCATTGTCACTACATGAACCACTCCACCTCCTTCTCTATTTTTCTGGTCATGTTCATCTCAGAATACTCCTCCCTTCTCCTGCACCATTCTTCTCAGATAATCCATGGAGCCTCCTTAGGCGGGAAAGCTAATGGCAGAAAGAAGGCTTGTTGATATGCAGTTGGATGGACAACTCATCAGGATGATCCACCGACCCATGCCTCTTTGACAGATGTCACAAATAGACAATGAACTAGACCCAGACTTGGACAACAGGAAAGGAGTGGAGTAGGTGAAAATTTATTGTTGTTCAGTTGTTTCATTCATGTCCAACTCTTCATGGCCCCTTTTGGGGTTTTCTTGGCAAAGATACTGGAGTAGTTTGCCATTTCCTTCTCCAGTCCATTTTACATATGAGAAAGCAGGGTTAAGTGACTTGCCCAGAGTCACACAGCTAGTGAATGCCTGAGGCTGTATTTGAACTCAAGAAGTTGAATCTTCCTCACTTCAGGCCCAGTGCCCTTTCCACTGCACTATCTAGCTGCCCCCTGAGAAATTATATAGTACCATGAAGTACAGAAAGCTTCTCCCTGAAATAAAGGCCCTTAAGTTTAACAATACTCTTCTCATAATGATGCATGGCTTACAGATAGGGCTTTGGACTCCAAGTCAAGTGTTCTTAAGACTGCGCCACGCTGCTCACAAATTCTGCTTTGCGTAAAAGGTTATAGGATCATAGATCTAGCATTAGAAGGGACCTCAAAGGCCACCTCATCCAACCCTCATATTTTACATGTAAGAGGGGTGCCCTACACCCCCCAATCCCAATTAACATAACTACCAAGACATCTCACTTCTGATGCCTTTGTCAAGTAAGAACTCCCACCCTTAGATTTAAATTCAGAATCAATCAATCACACAAAAGCATAAATGAGGTGTGGGAAAAGTCTTTAATCAATTTGATAAGAAGGATATGCTTTGAGCCACAGGAAATGGTTAGGAGTGAATGGAAGAATTAGATGTACCTCAGGGTCCATGAATATCAGAAGACTCTCAGGCAATGGAGCAGGGGAGGACAGATCCAGTCTCTCTTCCCCTCCCCCACTTTGAACAGAGGTGATCTTATGAACTTGGGAAGTTAGGGCTCCCCATTATGGCCCTCAGTAGTAACATCTCCCCAGCAGCAGTGATTGATGACCCCATCTGCCCTGGGATCTGAGAGATAGACACCCTGAGGAAAGGTAGCTTCCAACTCTACCAGGGCCCTGGCCTTGGGCACTCAGAAGAGAGACACCTGTAAGGGCTTCTTCTTGAGGACTCCATGAAGACCAAAAAAACCTTCCAATAATCTAAAGCTATGAGCCTAACTCTTTGTCTGCATGAGTTCTCTCATTTTAAAGTCCACCTACATAAGAACCTTGTAAGTCTGAGGGTAAACCCCAGTTTGGAGAAATATTTGTACTGAATGTTCTTATTATATCACCTCAATAAATACCTCTTTCTAATTAACTCTTGCTAGCTAATTAGTAATGAATGGAGAGTACATTGGATGGGAGCTCATGAATGACAGTACTCAGAAATACCCCTAGCCCTTTGGGATTACTCCTAGAACCAAGGGAAGAAGTAATCAGCTACTCTTTGGAGACAACCTAACAGTGGAAAAGGGGTCTGGGAGAGTGGGGGGGAGGGGCTACATATAGTTGAGGAAATTAAGGCCTAGGGAAGTCAAGCAACTCACCCAAGGTGACAAAGACAATAAGAGTCAGAGGGGCTGGATTCAAATCTAGTCCCTCTGTCTCCCAAGCCTGTGCTCTTTCCACTGTCCCTCAAACCCAGTTATTTGTGGGCCAGTCTGGTAAATCACAGGGTTTTTTTTGGGGGGGGGTTGGGGTTTTTTTAGGCAATTGGGGTTAAGTGACTTGCCCTGGGTCACACAGCTGTGTGAAGTGTTTGGTCTGAGGCCGGATTTGAACTCAGGTCCTCCTGACTTCAGGGCCTCTGCTCTACCCACTTGCCACCTAGCTGCCCCTGTGATAAATCACAGTTTTGTTGGGTATAGATTTTAGCTTAATTCTGGATCATTCCCTCTTTTCAATGGGAAACTGAGGCTGCCATATCTACCACATTGATAACAGCCTGTTAATTAGGGACTTTGTGGTCTGTTTCTTTACTGCCCTTGGCTGTGATCCAGGGAAAATCAAGAGGAGTCTCAGAATGTCAGATGCCCTGGTGTCACCAGCACAGGAAAGATAAGAATTGCTCATCTTCCTCCTGCAGAAATGTTGGGAAAGTAAATAAATGTGGAATCCCCAAAACCAGAGATGGAAGAGATTCCAGTAGTTCCCTAAGCACTGGCTCACTGCTTCTGTCACACATTGACTGTGTGACCCTTGCCAAGTCACTGAGGGCAGCTAGGTGGCTCCATGGATCAAGCATGGGACTTGGAATTTAGGGAGACCTAAGTTCAACTCCTATTCCAGACACTTACTAGCTGTGGTAACTTTGGGCAAGTCACATATCTTCTCTATTCCTCAGTTTTCTCATCTGTAAAATGGGGACAATAGTAGCATTTCTCTCACTGGGCTGTTGTAAAGCTCAAGAGATATGATTTCTGTAAAGTGCTTTGCAAGCTTTACGATGCTATATAAATCCTAGGTATTACTATTACTATTATCTACTCCAGACCATGCCTCAGAAATAACTCCCATTGAAACATATCCAGCAAGTTGTGATCCAGCTTTTGTTGAAAGATCTCCAGTGAGGTCTTGACCTCTTGAAGTAGCCTATTCAACTTTTGGAAAGCCCCAAATATTAGGAAACTTTTCCTGACCTCCAGCCCAAATTGTCCTCTGTGCACTCATGACTCTTGGTTCTGTCGTCTGGGACCAGGCAGAATAAGTCCAAGCCCTTCTCAAGCAACAGCCTTTCAGATACTAGAAGAGAGAAGCAGGGTGCCCATATTTAAGTCAGGGCAAGGGTAACTCTGGGGGGGGAAAAGCATTTTTCAAACAAGAAAAAATGAAAATTGAAAAATTATGATAAGAATTTGATTGAAAAAAATTATATGCTGTTTGAATAATGAAGAGAGTGAAAACATGCCATTCTCCTTTTTCCCCTTTATTAATGAATCAAAATTCACACAGATGCAATTGTTAAAACTATATAAGAACCTCTTAAGTGTAATTCCCATTTTTACCTGTCACTCTCCTTTTATAAAATGGGCATTTACATTAAAATAGTATCACATAAAAAATGGAATTTTACTATATTGAAAGTCTTTAAAACCATGCGGCCCTCTGGAAAAATCAGACATAATGTGGTTTTGCCCATAGATGTTTTAAATGAAAGAAAATGCAAAATGTCAATGGATAGAATGTAAAATATGTTCCAGGTAAGGAGACCAAGCAAGCAGCTAAAATGGAGATACCCTTTGGCCAGTGGAATTCCAGAATGAAGGACCTGATGGGAAAAGATGGCTCCAGAGCCAACATGGGAGGAGGGCAGGGGGAAGTGGAGGAGGGATGGACACAGCACCTAAACCCACTAATTCCAGATTCCCTTCACCAAAGCAGAGCAGCTAGTGCTTGCACATCCAAGACTTAAAAAATTACTTGGGACATTAACCAGCAAAGGAACTTGCTTATATTTTATTTATTTACAAAGTTCACCCAGCCCCTTACAAATACTGTCTCATAACCACCCTGGGAGGGAAGTACTATTATTATCCCCATTTTACAGATAAGAAAACTGAAGCAGACAGCGGTGAAGCGACTTGCCAGACGAGTGCAACTACTAAGTGTCTGGGCTGATATTTGAACTCGGGTCTTTCTGACTCCAGTTCCAACTCTCTGTCCACCCCGCCCCTGGCTGTTCCAAAAGATTTGCCCAGGGTGACAGAGGAGCAGAATTCGACTCTCCTAACTCCGGGGTGGCTCTCTATCCACTCCATCACACTCCATCTCACAATGAGACTTGGGGAAGTGAAAACGGGAATGGACGAGCTGGGAGCGATTCATCAAGCAGGAATCGTAATGTCATGAACAGAACTGCCGTTAAGCCCAAATCATTTTTTTTCCAAAAGATAGACACTAGGAAAGACTGATGGGAGAGAAATGAGAACAAAATCACATCGATAACGGGAAGGGGGGAAATATCCTCTCCAAGGGGAGGTGGGAAGGAAAATGGGACTCTCCGAAGAATCAGAAAAAGGTGGTCAGAACAAAGTCGTATTTATCACCTCGCCGGATGTTACTTTCAAATCCGTACTTTTGGAGCGGGGAGAAAAGAATGCATTGAAATTAAAAGGTTTTAAGAAGTTGTAAAAGTGATGGCTTTTGAACGGAATTTTTTTTCCCCTTCAGAATGCTCGTGTATCTCTAAGTTACAGACACACACACAGACACACACACACCTCTGCACACACTTGCTCCCTCTACTTCTACACACATACACACCCTGGCACACGTACTCGCTCCCTCTACCTACAACACACACACCTCTTTACACACACTTGCTCCATCTGCCTGTACACACACACAATCTTGCACGTATTTGCTTCCTCCATTTACCACACACACACACACACACACACACACACACACGCACGCACACACTTCCTCCCTCTGCCTCCACCACTCCTCCAGAAAATTTCAAAAGAGGAAAAAACCCCACAAAAACAAAAGATATTCATGGGCAGGTTCTTCTGGGCCACATCTAGAATCAGCTCTTACCGATCCCGGCTTCACACACAGTCCTTCCTCCAAGCAGGATGAATAGCTACAGGGAGCAGTGACTGAGCTTGGCTTGCTGGTCTCTACTGACATTTAATAACACAACAGACATTTGTTTAGTGCCTCTGTGGCTTAGTGCATAGAATACCAAATTGGCCCGAGTTTGAGTCCTGTCTCAGACACTTACTACCACTGTGACCTTGGACAAATCCTGCTCTCAGCCTCAGTTTTCTCATCTGTAAAGTGGAGCACCTACTTCACAGGGTTGAGCATATGAGAATACATGTAAATCTCTTCACAGTCTTCAAAGTACTATAAAAAATGTCAGGGTTTTGTAGTGGTTAGAGAGCCAGCCTTAAAATGAATGCAGCAACTCCTTTGGGGCAGCTTGATGGAAGGGTCCTTCCTCACAATTCAGGGCAGGTACAGATGCATTCTCACTAATTCTTGTCTACCAGAAGGACCTATTTAACCAAATGCTCAAAAGAACTGCATGGGTGCAATCTCCATCCCTCAGGACTTCTCTTCTTGCTGGCCTCAAGATGTAAGGACAACCCTCTGAGCTCTGGAAGGTCAATGGGGGGAGGGATTGCCCTGCTCCCCACCATTCAGCCCCCCAAATGCATGACCTCACAGGCAAATTTTGATGGGACAGAAGGGGCTCCTTCCTGCTTGTTTTCTTTCGTCCAGAACAGGACCTTGTAAGATCTTGAAAAGTGGCTAATCCCTTCTCCTTCCTGGACATCTGAGCATCAGCGGAACATTGGCTCCCAGAGCAATTACAGCAGCCCCAGTAGTGGCAAAGGCAACAGAGTGGATGCGTTTTTTAAAAAGCCTATTGGATTGAACTAAATTGAAGGACGGGCCATCAAAGCATAAGCGGCTGCTATTCAGCTGAAACGTTTTGAAGTACAAAGCCTCAGCTCCAGACTGCACCAGCTGCCTCAGATGCTCATCACCAGCAGGACTGGCCACTATCTAAGGAAGCCTTTGGCCAAGGTTATAACCCACAGCACAAAGGCTCTCTGAAAGAGCTATGGATAGAAGTTGTAAAGGCTTCAATTTAGTCTTAATGTCAGATGAAACTTCCTTACAATTAGCCCAACAGTAGGATGGCCTCCTCCTTCTTGGAGTTCTTCCAGCAAAGGTTGGATGGCTACTTCTTGGGACATTCCAGTGGGGCTTCCTGTAGGGTATGGGTTGGACAAATGGCCACTGAGGACCCTTCCCACTCTCAAATTCTGTAATTCTGAAAAAAAAAGTGGGGGAAGGGAAAGAGACAGGATGCTGAATTAGCTGCAAGATTGTCCAGCTAGGTGTCCAAATCTGATTCAGATGAGAAATGAGATAAAATATGTAAGGTGCTTTCTAAACCCAAAAGGGCAATATCAGGGGCAGCTGGGTGCTGCAGTGGATAGAGCTTGGGTCTTGGAGTCAAGAGGACCTGAGTTCAAATCCGGCCTCAGATCAGACACTTTGACACTTACTGGCTGTGTGACCCTGGGCAAGTCACTTAACCCCAATTGTCTCACCAAAAAAAAAAAAACCAATATCAAAGTTAGTTTTTATTGCTGATGTTATTAATGTCCACTCTCTAACAATGGAGCCAAAAGGAATGGAATGAATTCCCTCATACCATTAGAGTTGGGTCATGTGACTAAAGTCCTAGAAAGAAAGATAGGCTTCCCAAAGGGCCCCACTTACTTCTTGTGAGTCAATTTCACAATGGAAGAATCTAATCCATGTATGCAAAGTGCATCATTCGTTCCTTTAATGAATATTGATAAATACCTACTATGTGCTAGGCTCTGGGGCTACAAAGACAGAAACAAAGCAGTCTTTGTCCTCAATGAGTTCTACTGGGGAATGGAGGAAGGGGAAATGAACCCAGCAAAGTAAATACAAGTTATTTGAGGGCAGAACAGGGTCATTTATGGCCAGGGCAGCAGCAATTGGAGACAAGAAAATAAGCTTCATGTAGAAGGAGCACAGAAGCTGAGTCCTGAAGAAAGCTAAGGCTGATAGCAAGAAAAATAATACTATAAAATAAAACATAAATATACAGTATATTTCTATATAAAATACATCTAAATATGTCATATATTTTACATATAACATATAAAATGATGATGATGATAATGGTGGTGGTGATAGTAGCTAGCATTCTTATAACGTTTTAAGGTCCACAAAGTGCTTTATGGAAGGAGCGTATTCTAGGCATGAGGACAGCTTATGCAAAGGCCCTGAGATGGGAAACTGAATGTCTTATACAGGGAACACTAGGTAGATCAGTGTGACTGGAATGTCAAGTACGTAAGAGGGAGTCATGCGAAATAAGCCTCAGGAGATGCTTTATCTTCTCTCAAGATTTGGCCACAAGTAGGATATGGAAGAGCTGAGATTTGAACCCAGGGCCTTGAATGCCAACTCTAACAAGGCTATTGTGAGGGTCAAGTTAAAATGTCAGTGTCTACTGAAGGTACAGTTCCTGGGGGCTTACCACTACCAGTTCCCTTAACTACATAAATCCCTTTGCAAACCTCAAAGACTTGTGTCTTCGAAGTGTCCACAACAGTGATTTTTCCCAGAGCCCCCAAAGACATAGGCACGGTGTTCTGGGCCCTCTGGGTCAAATAGATAAAAGGTGAGCTGAATTCCCCAAATGACCCTCATGGGCAGAAAGTTCAGGACACAGACGGGCCTCAAAAGGTGCAGGTCTGGGCCAAATGCTGGTTTATGGGAATTAAAAAATTGAAGTAGGAAAGAGAACAGCTATAACCTCTTCTCATTTGAGTTTTTAATTCCAAGCCTGTGAAGCAGAGTCCAAACAGGCCTCTGGATCATACCAGATGAATAGCGGACGTATAATTTTTAAGAAACAAGAATGGTCTCCATTCAGACAGTTTCCTATTATGATTACAGGCATTGTCCTGAGAGCAGTCACATCCTGCCTTTTCTTATTCTTCCCTGAATCCATCACAGGGAAACATCAGAACGGGACTGCCTCGGAACATTCAAGGCAAAACAGTCAATGCCCTAGACTCTGCCGACTTTTTCTACTTTCTCCATAATGCAACTGGGCAGTCATGCTCTGTGCCCCATTAACCACCTCATTAACCTGCATGGACGAGGTGGACTCAACAGACAATGTGTCCCCAGAATATGAAAAAGGCAAAGAATACCAGGCTGGGCTGCTTCTCCCCCTGCCCCGAGCTCAGGGAGATCACTTCAGGTATAGCTCATTCCCACACCGAAGTCTGGAATAATAGGAAACGACACAGGATGAGAGGGGTCTTGTTCAGTTTTAAGGTGACATTTTTACAGTTGTCTCCTGCCAGGCTTGATTTATGAAAAAAATAAACCCTGAGAAAAGTTTGTTTTTTCTCCATAGTTTGATGACTTTTATGAATTATTGGTCATTTTTTTCAGGAATATCTGTGACCCCACCTGCAAATGTAAGTTCTTGAGGACAGTAACTTTTTTTTTCTTTATGCTAAGTACCTGACACTTACTAGACACACAATTAGTGCTTATCAAATCAATCAATCAATCAGTTGATGAATAAGTGTTAAAGGAATTCCAGAGAAATAGCTAAAACACAAGGGTATCTGGTACATTAGAAAGCTCCCCAGACTGGCATTCAGGAGACTTGGGGTCTAGTCCCCATTTCTACCATCCAGCAGACACATGACTTTGGACAAGCCCATGCCTAGCTTTCATTGTGAAATGGAGGAACTGGACCACATGGCCTTTCAGTAATCTTCCAACTGTAACATTCCATTATTTGGGAAATCAGGCACAATGCTTTGACCTAGATGAATTTACCAGTGTGAGAATTCCCTTCAATGATACAGATCCATGAATCAGAATCAGAATTAGAGGGTCGGTAGTAGCCATCTCATCCAACCCATCTACAAAAGGCATCCCTACTATAATGTACTCTACACATGGTCGCCCAGGCTCTGCTGGAAGACCTCCAAGAAGGAGGACCTCTCATGGAAGCCCATTACTCTTCTAGATACTTCTGAGGTCAGACAACTGACATATCCAAATGGTACCATTCCTATTGCCTGGCATAGTGTCCTGCGCTCAGGATACACAGGAAGCATTTAATTGAGGCAGCATGAAGCAGTCTAAAAATCACTGCATTTGCTTGGTTTTAGTGCTAGTCTACGTGACCTTGGCCAAGTCATTCAACTTATCTGTGCCTTTTCTATAAAATAAGGGGTAGAATGCTGGCATTGGAGTCAGGAAGACTCGAGTTCAAATCCCACCTTTGACATTCAATTAGCTGCACTACCCTCACAAGTCACTTAACGTGTCGGAGCCTCTGTTTTCTCATCTGTAACATGACAGGTCTGCACTAGATGGCATTTAAGGTCCCTTCCAGATCCACATCTATGGCCCTATTATCCTATGACAAAAAAGACCTTGAGAGCAGGGATTGTTTCATTCTTGTGTTTGTACCCACAATGCCTAGCACATAGGAGGCATTTCACAAATTCTTTTCATGATACATTAAATTAAATTAAATTAAATTGAGGTCCAAAATTAGGCAGGAGCTTAGAGATTTAGGTATTGGAGTTTGAGGGGCACCTGTAAGAATGACTTCCACTGAATGAGCCATGAGGTATAAGTTGAAGGGCTGTCTTCAGAATTTGAAAGACTGCCCTGTGGAGGAGGCTTGGAAAAAGTCTAGGGGAAAGTCTTGGAGTCTTGGAAAGCTTGACCTCAGAGGGTAAAACCAGGAGCAGTGATAAAATCTGCCAAGAGGCCGGTTTAAACTTTAGGGTAAGGAAAATCTTTCTAACAATCAAGCTATTTAGAAATGGAATGGTCTATTGAGGAGGTGATGGGTTCCCCCTTGCAGGACAGGCTTCAAGAGGATGGCCACTTGTCAAGTAGATTTCAGAAGGGAGTCTTGGGCAGCTGGGGGTTGGTCCAGGGGCCTTCTGACATTCCTTGCAAGCCTGAGATTCTGTGCTACCATGAAGATCAAATTCTCTCCCTGTCCTGTGTAATTCCTATCCCATATTTTCTCAAACCCTCCTGGGTTCATCTGATTAATATATTAAATGACTTCCATTGATTCCAATAATATCTTAAGGGGCCCCATCCACTATGACAATGCCATTTCCAGTGTATTTGCTCTCAGGTTATACTTTAAATGGTATCAATTAGGAACCTTTTTTTTCCGAATTGTATTCAAGTCATCTTCCAGGACGTGGGCAAAAACCTTTGGAAAATGCCTCCCTGTTGACTAGTTCACAGAATGTGCTGCTCTGTGGATATGGAGCCGTTTTACCCCTGCAGGTACATCTGTCATAGAATACTGTGTCATTATGACATATGAATGAGAGATGCTTTGTCTCAGTTCAACTTTCAAGGCTTCATTTTTCTCTACTTGCCAAATGTTTTTGAAAAATCAACAAGCAATAAAAAAAAAAGGAATCATATTCTCTACACCTCTCAGTGAGCTGTGTGACACTAAAGATGTAGTCTGTGATACGAAATTGGTTGGGGAAGTCTGCCTCCTCCCCTACCATCATCATTTCTCACGTTTTCATTCATTCATGCAGAGAAAGTTCTCATAAAGATTTGATTGAGATAGGAAAGCTTGTGGATTGAGTCCACATCTGAACTCATTATCTGTCCCACATAACCAACCTCCTTCTTCTGAACTTCCTATTTTCTGTCAGGGACACCACACCCTTCCAGTCACTTGGGTTTGCAAACTCAGTGGTATCGTTGACCCTTCATTCTTCCTCCTGCACGTATCCCATCAGTTTCCATGTCTTGTCATTTCTATCCCTACATCTATCCTTTATCTCTTTTCACACAAGTGTCATAGGAGTTCAGGACATCATCACTTCTGACCTAGATTAGTGCTTCCTATCCGGTCTCCCTGCCCCAAGTGTCTTCTCTCTCCAATCCATCTTACACATGGATTTTCCTCAAAAATTACTTTCCTTAAGTGGAATTCTGATGGTGGTTACTGCCTTACTCAAGAAGCTCCAGTTACTCCATACTGCCTCTAGGATAAAATTAAGTTGGCTTTAAAACCTTCACACCCTGGCCCCCACCTACCTTTCCATCCTTTTCACCTACTCTGTGGTCCATCCAAAGTGTTCTTCTTGCTTACTAAATCTTGACCCTCTTCAAGTGGGCTGGACATCAGGTGACAGGATAATAATAGACTTGGAAGGCATCATGGAGGCCATCAAGTCCAACCTTCTCATTTTACATGTGAGAAAACTGAGTCACAGAGAGATTAAATGATTTGGCCTAGGGTCACACAGTTGGTAAGTGCCTGAGGTAGGGTGTGAACCCAATTCTTCTTGGTCTAGTTCCAGCATCCTATTCACTAAGTCATGCAGCCTCTCTCCAAAAGCATTTTATTATCCAAAAGGATTCCCATTCATAGACTGGCTAATAATGAGAATCCATGCAATGAAGAAATGTTTTGAGTGAAACCATGTGATTTGTCCTTTTTTTCCAAGGTTGCAGAGCAAGGAGCTAAGGATTGGAATTTAAGAATACTTCATAGGACCAAATTTTTGCATCAGTTGACATACCTGGTCCTTCTAGTATAAAACAGCTGAATCAAAATCATACATATACATGTGCATGCACACACACACACACATTCATGTGTGTTAGCATCTTCAAGGGCATGCTATTTTTTATTCCACCATGGTGGTCCTTTTCCTCTCATTCATTCATTTCTGTAGACAAAAACTGGAATGTACCTGGTAACTACCTGATGAAATATAAGGGGACAAAAAAATCTTTCCCCATGAATCCCCTTTACCAGATGGATTTTACCCTAGACGATGCACCTCTGTAGGAAACTGACCCTGGGTAGCAGATTTGCCAAACCTCAAGTACATCTGTCCCTCACCTCTCCCCAAGAACACTCAATACCCATCTAGACTTACCTTGCCTGCTAGGGTGAGATACACAATCAAACAGGAAAATGGCAAGACTGTCGGTTTTGGGGGAAGGGGAAGATGTTTCCTTTTTTAAAAGCATCTCCAGAAACTACCCAGAAAGATGCACATGTCCACTCTGCCTTCTAGTCAAAGAATTCCTTATTAAAAATTCTATACCTCCAAGCATACCTGCTGAATATAGCCAAGGGAAGGAGCTCCACTCACGGTTGTGGTTGAAAATTATTTATAGCCTCTGTTGGTTATTTTCCAGAAGACACCATTTTGAGGAGGCTTTTGTTAAAGGCTTCAGGTAAATCTGTCTTCTTTCCCTCAAGTGCTTTTATGCAGAAGCTCCCTCCTTTTCTTGTTTATCATGGAGGGCTGTACCAATGAGCCTCTCTCTTTCTGTCAGATTTCTGCCTGCCGTTGCTATCAATCTGGAGGGATGGGTTGTTGGGGACAGGAAAGTAAGAAATCTTTCTAGCACTTTGTAGCATAAGGGGAGGATCATGTAAGTTATGGCTACATGGGGTCAGCCTGCTAAGATAGTCAGCATTTGTGTCCTTATTTTTTCTCCTTCAGAGTGAGAAAAGAATACCTATGGTTATAAAAGATAATACAATGCATTAGCTCCGGAGGAAACCTTATTAAAATCTTCCACTGTAGAAAGTCATTGGAGGTTAGGAGTCAAAGTCTTGGATCAGTGGGTTTCAAAGTGGTGTCTTTCTCTCTCCCTTTTGCTTTCTCTTTCTCTCTGTGTCTCTGTCTCTGTCTCCCTCTGTCTCTCTGTCTCTCTCTGTCTCTCTCTGTCTCTCTCTCTCTCTCTCTGTCTCTCTGTCTCTCTGTCTGTCTCTCTGTCTCTCTGTCTCTCTCTCTGTCTCTCTGTCTGTCTCTCTGTCTCTCTCTGTCTCTCTCTCTGTCTCTCTCTCTGTGTCTCTGTGTCTCTCTCTCTGTCTCTCTGTCCCTCTCTCTGTCTGTCTCTCTGTCTCTCTCTCTGTCTGTCTCTCTGTCTCTCTCTCTGTCTCTCTCTCTGTCTCTCCCTCTCTCTCTCTCTGTCTCTCTCTCTCTGTGTGTCTCTCTCTGTCTCTGTCTCTCTCTCTGTCTCTCTCTCTGTCTCTGTCTCTCTCTCTGTCTCTCTCTCTGTCTCTCTCTCTCTGTCTCTGTCTCTCTCTGTCTCTCTGTCTCTCTGTCTCTCTCTCTGTCTCTCTCTCTCTCTGTCTCTCTCTCTGTCTCTCTGTCTCTCTCTCTGTCTCTCTGTCTCTCTCTCTGTCTGTCTCTCTGTCTCTCTCTCTCTGTCTGTCTCTCTGTCTCTCTGTCTCTCTCTCTGTCTCTCCCTCTCTCTCTCTCTCTGTCTCTCTCTCTGTGTGTCTCTCTCTGTCTCTGTCTCTCTCTCTGTCTCTCTCTCTGTCTCTGTCTCTCTCTCTGTCTCTCTCTCTCTCTGTCTCTCTCTCTCTCTGTCTCTCTCTCTCTCTCCCTCTCTCTCTCTCTCCTTCTCGGTGTTTGACAGTTCATTACAATCTTAAGAGGAGGCTGGATTTGGATCCAGAAGATCTTGCTTTGAATCTAGGTTCTGCTACTTCGTGCTGTGTGACTTTGGTCAGACTATCTGAATTCTCTTAGCCCAGTTACTCATAGGTAAAATAAGAAGGTTAGACTAGAAGATCTAAGCTCCCTTCTGGTACTAAATTCTACAAAAGAAAAAGTTAGTGCCTTGAGGGCAAGGACTTTCTCACTTTTCTCTCCATCTCCCCAGCCCTACCATTTGCCTGGCAGATAGTAAGCACTTAATAAATGCTTGTTGGCTGACCAGTTGAGATTGCCTTTTTTTCTTATCTAGCATTCCCTTCCTGTGACTTCTCTCCCCAAGGTAGACTGTCAGCTCCTTCAGGCAAAGGTTCAGAGACTCACAGAATTTCAGAGTTGAAAAGGATTTTAGAAGAACCAGCAGCAGCATCAATAGCATTTATAAAGGCTTTAAAGGCTTACAAAATATTTTACAAATATCAATTCATTTTATCCTCACAACAACCCAGGGAGGGAGGTGCTATTATTATGCCCATTTTGCAGATGAGAAAACTGAGGCAGACCAATATTAAATAAGCTCCTGAGCTCAGATTTAAATGCAAATCTTCCTGACTGGAGATTCAGCACTCTAACCTAAGGACCACCTCTACAACATGCCTTTGTTTGAAGATCTCCAGGTGAGGTCAAATTTTCCAAAGGGTGAGCCAGCTAGTAAGTGTCTGAGGCAGAGGCTGAACTCAGGTCTTGCTACCTCCAGGTCCATTGTGCCACCTGGTTGAATGCCACTTGCATTTCTATGGCATTTTAAGGTTTGCAGGGTCTTTTCCAACCATTATCCTAATTGGTCCTCACAAAACCCTCGTGTCATGGGTGCTTTTCTGATCCCCATTTTATAGAATAAGAAACTGAGATTCAGAGTGGTTAAGTGATTTACCCAAGAGTACAGCAATAGCCGGTACCAGGGCCAGGATCTGCTGTTATTGCTTTCATGATCTCAAAGGAAATAGTCGAGCCTTTAAGCAATTTTTTTCCCCACAGTTGTTTAAAATTAATTTAAATATATGTATTTTATACAATGTCCCTTCATAACAAGAGGTCTATTCGACAAGCCCCTGAAAGGGCATCTAAATCAAGCCTAACCAGAAAGAACAGAAAATCTCATCGGGAAAGGCTGCTTTGGAAAGGATCCCAATTAGATGCACACAGATCAGAGGGGTGAGAATCGGAAGCCAAGTATTTGTGACCAGAGCAGACTACAACAAAACACTGAACATAAACTTTTCCTCCTTCGGTACTGGGCCAAGGACTAGAGCTGTGTTATTTAACATCTTCATTGAGCTCTTGGATAAAGCCATCGGTGGCATCCTTAGCTAAGTTTCAGGTGACACAAAGCTAGGAAAAACAGGTGGTACAGTGAGCGGATGATGGTCAGGACTCAGAATGATCCCAAGAGGCCTGGACATTGGGCAAAATCCAATAAATGGAAGTTTGATAGAAACAAATACTAAGTCTTAACACTTGAGCTTAGAAAATCAAATTTGAATATGTAGGACCAGAGGTTTGAAATAAATGGCCCACCAGCCACAACACTCCTGTACAGCCCAAATCAGATCAAAATATCATTGGGAAATTTTTAACAAAATGAGTAAAACTACAGTAGAACATAGCTATTGTTAATGTGTGGTTTTCCAAATCAACACGCACCCAAAAGGGATTCTTATGTACTATTTAGTGGCCCCCATTACTATCTGAGTTTGATACCATTGGTTTAGACAACTGATTTTAGTCAGTTTGTCTAAAAAAGATCA